CACCAAAACGAGTAGATGGAAAGATGGCCATTTAAAATTTACCCTTGGCTAGTACAGTCCTGCAAATGTCCACACAGAGTTACATCCCAGTGAGCTCAAAGGAATTTACGGTAAGTATGCCAAGAATTACAGTATCCGCATCCCAGGTGGTGGGCTCTCCCACACTAGAGACATTCAAAACGAAACTGGACAGTCATCATAGGAGGAGGGTGTAAACTGATGACCTGTAACAGCAAAGGGTTGAGCCCAATGGCCTACCAGGCCCCTTCCAACTCTTCTGTTTTATTATTCTTTAAAGAGTAATTCCATCTGTAGGACAGACATTCATGTTTCCAGGACTTTTAAAGTGTTGATCACGCAATAGACAGACCCCTACCTTTCTAAAAGTTCTGCTTCTGTTTCCTTAAACAGAAAAAGTTACTCTTCTTCCAGAAAAAACAACACGCTCTATGCTGGATTGCTTCCCTATTTTGCTTATGTTACCTTTGACACTTTTTTCGGTAGTCCTGTGAAAAGCCATAATGTAAGTAATGGTCCAAATGACTAAAATCCCAGATACTGTTTTCATTTCTTTCCCTGGAATGAAACTGTAAACTCTAGGCATGAAGTCAGTCAATACGTTTCTTAGCTGCCCAACTTCGTTGATTTATGCGGATTCCTTTTGGATGTCCCATTTCCCTAAATACTTTTCATTTCCCATAGATTTGCCATATTTGTCCATGTTCTCGGGTTCACCAGTGGTAATAACCACAGATAAATCTTAGGGCTGTTCCAGGATTCCAGTAATAAGGACCCAGCTCACTCCAGCAGTCCAAAGACGGATTGCCTGCCGTGTGCTAGCTGAAATAGTCACATTTCCTCTGTTATTGTGTGTGTGGTTTCCCTTCCTTTTCTACTCCAGAAGGCTAGTCAATCAAATATGAAATGTGTTCCTCCTTCATGGCTGAAACTGCCTAGGAATCCCTTGCCTAATGTAGTGTGGGTTATGCACTTAATTATGTTTCCGTCACCAGCTCATAGCAGGTGCTAGGAGCAAAGCTAATGTGTTTGTTTGCATAAGTTGATTGCAGATAATAACCCTTGTGTACAAGAAAGGATATGCTAGCGCACACCACACAGGGGTCACTTCTGGACATTTGTGTACTTCTATGAAACTGTCCAAAAAACAAAGGCAGCTGTGTCGGTCACAAGAAAGAATCTAAAACCCATTTCCTGTAATAACCTACACCATCTAGTCAGCCTTTCCTCTTCCCCTGTTTTCTGCACAGCCCATCGCCCTGCTTTTTGCAGTGTCTTTTCTGATGAAGAGATGTGAAGATCTTGAAAGTGTACACATTTCGTTATCTGTTGTGTTGCCCTAAGAAAAGTATTTCAGTATATGGTTCTACAGAACTGGGCGCACAATCAAGCAGAAATGATGGAAGTATACCTGAGAATACAGCATTTTCTCCCATGTTGGAATAACAGACGACTCTAATCTGTATTTACAATGTTAATACTTGTAAACCACCCACAGAGCTCACAGGCTACGGGCGGTATATAAATGTAATAAATAAATAGTCTGGTCACGAGCTGCTGGGTTTTCTTTTCATTACAGCCGCTAATTCATAGGGTGCCTTTTTGTTTTTTTTTTTTTTTTTTTTTTGCCACTCCCGTTCTGTGCCTTTAACAGACGCCTGGCTCAGCAATGAGCAAACGAGGGTTCTTTTTCCCCACCACACCAAAAGTAGCGCAAAATGCTCCACTTCTGTGCGCTGAGCTGCCATTCAGACAGAAAGGCAGGGAAAGATACAGAAAGGTGGCCAGCCACCATATCATTCAACCCCTGGATGTGTTAGCAAAACCAAGGGTGAACTGAGTTCCCATGTTGTTTTGCACAGAATCTGTGTTTGAATATACAGGCTTAGCCTTTCCAAAACAAGGGCACTGAGGAGGAGTGAAAATTAATACATATTACTGATTTATTCATTTTATTCCATTTCTGTACTGCCCAATAGCCAAAGCTCTCTGGGTGGCTCTCAAAAAATACACATCATAGGAGATAATCAAACATGCTATAAAGTCACAAACACACTTAGTTTAAAACAGCTTGAAGGGTTGCAATGCAATACCGGATCTGATTTTTTTTTTTAAAGAAAACTGGCATAAATACCATACCCCATTGTATGCTGTCAAATGCCTGGAAGCAGAAGGCTGCCTTAACCTGGCACTGAAAATATAACGCCATTGGTATCAGGCAGACCTCTGGGAGGAGAATTTCAGAATCAAGGGGTTGCCACCGAAAAGGCCCTCTCCTTTGTTGTCCCCTCCCAAGCCTCCTCAGAGGAAAGCTGGCATTTGAAAATGGTGAAGGCGGGGTGTGGTACATGAAGTCAGCTGGCAGCATATGGCTTGCGTGCTCCCCCCCCCCCCGCCCTGTGCATCCTTTCCCACAAATCCTATGTTGCTTGTTTTGTCATTCACAGTGGCAAGAGCACGAGAATCAGTGACTTGCCACAAAAACTGACTATGAGGTTAAGCTAGTTGAATTGTCCTTGTTTGGTCACTTAGCAAGTCTATGGCAGATGTGAAATCAAAACCCACAACTTCCTGGTTCACAGCCTTTATTTATTTATTCATTCATTTCTTCTCCTTTATGCTGTGCTGTTCCCATGATTCTCCAGGGTGCACTGTGTGACTTCAAAAATCAGTTTGCTAAGCAAATGATTCCTTTGCAAGCAGTGGTTTAGCAGAAATCCTCACTGAGATAGTGCAGACAGTTTGAGCTCAGTGAAAAATCCAGTGATGCTTATTTTAGTGTTTGCTAAGCCCGTGGATTAGAGGCACATGGGTTGTTGCTGGGAGCTAAGTTGCAGTACTTTTCCCACTGCAACCTTCACCAATATCCTTGCCTAGCGTTTGAGCATCGATCAGCCTGAACAAGGATCCAGCATCGATGCAGTACAATGGAGATTATCATTGACCTCCGTGGGAATTGGATTGGAAGCATATAATTAAATTTGCTCATTAGTTGACCTTCGCTATAAATGTTACCGCCTCTAAAATGCCGGGGGCCATCTGGAAAGGGCTACTAGATCGCAGTGGAGCAGCGAGGATTGCGCCATTGGGGTGGTGCTCGGAGCCTCTCTCTCACCCATAGAGCATCGGACGATGGGGACATTGGCAGACACCTGGACCACACCTTACCGCTGGCTGCAGCATCCTCTCTTTCATCTCAGATCAGGTGTCGGGGGAAAATGAGCAAGAAGCTGTGCCGTAATATGGCTGCTGAAAAGCCTGGTGCTTTAAGAGCAGCTTTAGACTTGAGATGGATGCCTGCTCTGATCCTCTCAGAGATGCTAATGCTTTCCTGTCCTTTGGAGGTGCACTCAATTATTTGCCTGCCTTGAAGGTCCTTCTTTGTCTTCTGTGTGTATTAGCTGCATTCATCCCTATTGTTTTGCCCTATTGTGCCTATAGCAACCTGCCTACCTGATCCTCCACCCCTCTCCAAACTATGTATGTGACTGATAGGTTATAAAAGCATCTTGTACAGACTCCATCATTTTAGTTCCTTCAGGAGCTACCTACATGCTACATGTATTTCCTGTGCGTCTGAATGCACTGTAAATGCTCTTTTGATTATACACCCCCAGTGTACCTGTTTTGGTTGTCACAAGGAGCACCCTGCAAGACATGTGCATGGTTGTAAAGGTCCATGCTGACTGGGAATGATCCAGGTCACTGTAGCATACAAGACTCCCACTGCTAATTACCTGCTGGAGTTCAGGGATGACCAGCAACTCACCCAGCATCCCTGTAGGTCTGTAAAATCTAAAGCCATCAACTCACTGGTGCACAGGAGGCAGGTCCTAGGCAGCCTGGACTGCATGACGGAAGTCCACCTTCCCTTTGCACTGGATGCCCCTCCACCAATGTTAGACTTTTAGGAAAGTGTTCTTTCCCTACAGCTCACAGTATGAAGAGGACCAACGTGTCTCAAAAGCATGTGAGATAGGAACTATCCTTGGATCAGTAGATAAGAAGACATATTGAAGGCCAAGGCCATCTATGAAAGTCTTCAGGGTTGATGTCGAAGATGGGCATGGTCAAGCTCCCGCTGAGGGTCCAATAGGGGCCACGGAGAGATCCCTGGAGTTACAACCTACTTGTTCCCCTGCCTCCCCTGACCCAGGGAGTGGCAATGAGAGCAGGAGCGGGAGTTGTGATGGGCCACTTGCTGCTTGGCTGTCTGCCTCTCGAGCAAGCAGGTATGGCAATCATGAAGAAGAAGCTGAGGATCAAGAGCTCACCTTGGTGACCATGGTGGGGAGACGGTAGATTCACTGAGAGAGAAGACCCACTGAGGGACTCTTGATCAAGGACCCTTAGAAACCTGGAGCCAGCACTGAGTAGCTTCCAAGACCAGTAATTTCTTTTGAGCTTGCTCCTTGTGCACCAGAGCAACTTGGAATAAACTCACAGCATGTGCTTACCTCTGCTGAGGAATGCTTCTCCCAGCCAGCCAGCGCTACACTCCTCCAGCCATGAGGTTGCTCCATTCCACCAAGCCCACATCCCTTCCCAGTTCCAATGGACACTCAACATTCTGTGACTACGGAGTATTTTTGGTCCTCCTCATTAGAGGGTCACCCCCTTAGATTTGCAGGGGGATTGTTGCAATT